TACGGACTGGAGATGAACTTGGTCCCCGAGAGTCGACGGCTGGTCGAGTTTTTACGACGTCGACGGACCAGGTTCACTCGGGAAGGACAGCTTTCGTCCCCACCTCGGGGTCCGTCGATCAATCGACCAACGGAACGAGCAACCTCGACATTAGAACTTTTTTAATGGTTTCCTTGAGAAACTGAAGACACTTTGCGCATTAGCTCTGGATAATTAAAGTTAAATTAGTGTTATGAAACTGAACGTTCGATTAGTAGATTGTGCATCGAGTTAGAAGATAATGTGGTTTTGGTTTGTTGGTGTGTTCCAACTTTGTACGTATGAATAGATAACATGCTTTTTAGTTGTTCAAGGATTTACTCGGTTCTTTGTTTTTTCGGTAGAAAGATTCGACACTTTCCGGTGAGACATAGATGACACTATTTGAAACGAACTAATGAGGAAACACGCGTAAATTAAACCTTCGTGATATTTTATTTATTTTGTATGAAATATTTTAATTTGGTGATGAGATGAAGACGATATTTTGTGAAATTAACTCGAAGAGGAATCATGTATACATCGAAGAACAAAGCTATTTATAGTATCATATAATATAATATTATAATATAGTATAGTATATAATATAATATAGTATAATATTAAATATCAAATTTTATAGTTTTACTGTACGAAATCACGTGGTGACTGAGTCACCTCCGAGTGCAAAGGTTTAATTTCCTCAATGTTTGTTTCATAGCGTTAACCGTATTAGCATCTGCGACTTAATTAGAGAGGTACTTGAAAGTTTTAATTAGACGATAGAAAAGCGTCGAATTAACGTCTGCGTCTTAATTTCTCCGTCTGAATTCGCGGACGTGCCGGAGGTTCGTGAACCGTTTAGAATGTTCAGTTATCTAGGGTTAAATAAATGAGACGCATGTTTATTCAATTAAAGATATCGAATACCCAAAAAAACATCGCCTGACTCGCGATGCCAAGTATAATCACGCATATTTACGCGTGTGCGATATCGTTTAATTCCATGAAAAATCTTCGCCGACGCGTAACGGAGTTTTTTGTTTTACTTCGAGCGCGATAAATCTCGCCGGCGAAGGAAACGAAAGTGTATTTAACTTGAAACGCCGTTTCGGGAGTGAAGGAAAACAAAAGGGAAACAAGAAAAACACGATTCCCGAGACATCCGACTCCGTTTCACGGACATGGCGGCCTGCCGGCACCGTTCGCGTTGATAATCGCTGATAATTACGTCCTCGTGCACGCTACATGCAGCAGCCTGCTGATCGTGCTTACATAACGCGCGAACAACACGCGTTTTCATCTCGAGAAACGCGATGTGGAATGGCAATTATCCACTACGAAATGTGTTTACTAGGAGAAACACTGTCGAAAGGGACGACGCGCGCTCGATGAGTCATTTTCCGAACAGCATCCGGGGGGACGGTTTACGTCTGAACGAGGATTATTTATGACCGAGTGGAAAAAAAATTATCCACTCAATTTACGGGAATTACTGCAATTATCGTCGGGTTCTTTTACGATACGCGAAGAGTGCAATATAACAAGCAAGAAGGAAAATTCACGAACACAAACGGAACGCATCTGCGACAAACGCGAATAAGATAGAGTGCGAGCTGCAGATACGGGTAATAATAGGATTAGATGACAGCTGGGTAAACGAAGAAAGGAACAGTGAGTCGACGAAGAATGAAATCGGAATGACGATTCGAGGCGTTTTTGCGGATAAACGGTTTAACGCTAGGTTAATTTCGAGTTTCGTGAGGGATATTACGGAAATTGTTTACATTGTTTTTCTGACACTTGTGCTGACACGTATCCGTAATTCTTGTTGACGCCCGCACCTCGCAGTCCCTCGTAAAAGTATTTAAACCGGCTGAAAACAAAGTTCCTTGGGATTAGCTATTTGAAGGTCGTTTTATTACGGGGGATCACCACGTGAGCGTACCGAGCGTTGATACCTGAATCGGACATTACCTGGATTATCGACGGAAAAGCCCGCGTAGCATTACACTGCTGTCAAGTGCCTTGGTAAGAGGTAACCGTGCAATCAGAAATGGTACTGGCCATCAAGGCATGACCCAACAATTTGTGTTTCATGCGTCACCATCACCTTCGTCTAGTTTCTTAACGATACTGTGAGACGTTTAAAATTCACCGGACAAAGACATTCTTTTTGTATAGATTCACACGAACAATATGCATCCAAAGACGTTATATATTAACCTCTTGCCGTACAATGACGAGTGAGACTCGCGATGAAGATTTCTAAACTAATTTAACAAGCGTCAATATTGTTCATTACCCACGGATCAAAGCAGACTATTTTGCTATTATCAATGTATTATCTTCAAATAAAATTTCTACCTAAAGTAGAATGGAAAATTTTGTTGTATTTCTTACAAATTGTCGATAGTAAAATATTACACGAGCTTAGTAACGAAAGTAAATACGCCAAGGTGTTAAACGTAGTGGTTAACCCCTTGCCCTATGATTTATTTCTCAACGGTGATCAACGTAACTTTCTCATTAATAATCTATTGGAAAAAGAGAAAAATTCCATATATATTTTATGTCAAAATTTGCTTTATAATATAATAATTGATAAGAGAAAAATAATATTTCATTTAAATTCACAAGAATTGTTATATATTAAACATTGCAGTTAACCCCTTGCCCTATGATTTATTTCTCAACTGTGATCAACGTAACTTTCTCATTAATAATCTATTGGAAAAAGAGAAAAATTCCATACATATTTTATGTCAAAATTTCCTCTATAATATAATAATTGATAAGAGAAAAATATTGTTTCATTTAAATTCACAAGAACTGAACGATATTTATATTTGTTAAAGTCTGTTTAAAACCTTCACGAGTCTCACACGTTATTGTATGGCAAGGGGTTAAAAACATACTCTATTCATTTGACAAATCTATCTTCCAATCATCTCGAGACGTTTAACACTAAAACTAGGCGAGTCAAAGTGACCTGACGTCTTCCTTTCGTAATTCTTAAAAAGATAACAAATGGTTCTCCGAGAAATTATTACAGAAATCAATTTAGCAGTACGAAAGCTGAATTGTGAATTGTGAATTACTCTCGGAATCTACAGAAGAACTTCAAAAAGTCAATTTAACTGCTTATTTAACATTTTCTAACTAGACAAAAACGATGTTTTTTTAAATGAACTCAGAGAAATATCGCAGGTGAATTGAGAAACAAAGTTTTTTATCTCAATATCTCACACACCGATGCATTATATACAGTTGAATATTGAATATCAAATTTTATAGTTTTACTACATGAAATCAAGTGATGTCTGAGAGTCACCTCTCGAGTGCAAAGGGTTAAAGAACCATCGAACGATGTTTTATTCGACGATTTCCCCGACAACTGCACGCGTTCCACAGTTCTCTCGACCGCATGTAAAGCAAACAACATTAAAGTGACGAATCGATTCTCGCCGGTGGACAACGTCGAAGGACGTAACTTTATGACGTTCCGCATCGAAATGCAGTAAGCGATCCATCGTCGTATTTGCGATTCTACACGGCCTTGTGGAAAAAATCGTATCGTGGCATTGTTTCGTCCATTGAAATCGAGCTTAATCGACGTCCAGCTTCGTTTCGATTTCATTCGCGGCGAGTTACACGGCGTATGACAGCACAGAACCCGTCACGTTCGCTGAATACGATTCGTTTTCTTTGAAAACGCTGCGAAGTCATCATCCCCCATGCGACTTTCGCCGTCTCCGGCTTCTCGCGAATCAAAGTTGTTAATTGCGCTATTCTCTAGCGACCGGGTCACGCTTTACTCGGAATTTCGCGCGCCCTTCGACCCGCTGACCCCTTGCTGAACCATTTAACGCTATTTCTACCGAAAGTGTCGAAAGAAATTTTGAAATTTTAACTTATAAAATTGACAATTCTATGTCAGCGTTTGCTATAAATGTTAACGGTTGATAAGAGACTATCAACGTTTAATTTATGTTAAAAATAAGTAAATGGCATTAGGTTTGTCCAAGGCACTCTAAAATCTTCATCGCGAGCTTGACACGTCATTATGAGGAGTTAATGTGACCCTGACATGTCATTATAAGGAGTTAACACTATTTCTACCGAAGGTGTCAAAAGACACTTCCTGAAATTTTAACTTATAAAATTGACAATTCTGTGTCAACATTTACTATAAATGTTAAAGGTTAATAGCAGACTATCAACGTTTAGTTTACGTTAAAAATAAGTAAATGGGATTTAGATTTGCCCAAATTACTTTAAAATGTTCATTGCCACTCTGACACGTCATTATGAGGAGTTAACACTATTTCTACCGAAGGTGTCAAAAGACACTTCCTGAAATTTTAACTTACAATTCTTTTCTCAGCTCAACAATTTTTCCCCAATTGAATTTTCGACATTTCCTGTAGCTAATGTTATAATCGTTATCGGTAAAGTCGAAAGTTAGTTCAGAATACACGACTAAGGTTAGAAAATAATTTTAAATCGAGAATTCGACAGGTGTCTGTCGGTACCTCGGTAGAAATAGAGTTGATAATGTAACTGAGCTGCTAATAATCTAATGCAAAGACTACAACGCTAAATAATTAACAATTGTTCCTGTTTTTCTTCGCTACAAGAGAGTAACTCTACGAAGAAATGGTCAAGATTTGGCACTTAACGTGTCAAAATGACAGGTTTCAACGTTTTAGTTTCGAATTACTGATATCTTAAAAGCATTGAATATTCGAAATGATCTTGAAAGTAAATAGTTTCACTTATACTATAATGAATGTCTGAAGAAACTGATAATAATCAATTATTACAATTTTCATAGGGATTACCTATTAATCGTATTAAATGCTCGGTAGTTCTAATGTTAAAGCAAAAGGAAACAGGATCAAGGACTGCGAATTGTTTACGGCGCATGTCGTCCGACTTTTCGGGAAATCGTGGCTGATCTCTTGGCAGCTGATCACCGTGGACCGGATATCTCGATGAAAAAATTATCTTGGCAGCGTCAGCGGGAAGAACATTCGACGATTACCGGTGAAAAACACAGTCGGTTTAAAGTCCAATGGCCGGGAGCCTCGTGTCGATCGCGGATACGGATACGTAAACACGCCTTCGCAGAGGCGTCGCATTTTCGTTTATCGCGTGGGAGACACTCATTGACTTTGTTTCGCGACTGGTCCAAAACCACGTACCGATTCGATTTCGCAACTTGCGTCGCGACGACACTAATACTGCTCCTCGTTATCGGGACGCGGAGACCTTCCGCCTCGTGTGTATACTAAAACTATTCAAGCATCTTTTACTCTGTTATTCGAGCAATAAAAGCAATATGTTGGTTCCTTATATAATGGAATAATGAATTAGTTTTGATTTAATTAAGACTGAGTGAACACGTTTGTTTACAATTGATCAGGACGTAATGAACAACTAAAAGCAATATGTTGGTTCCTTTTAAAATGGAATAATGAATTAGTTTTGAAATAATCTAATGTCTTCTTTTTGCAATTATTACAAAGATAATGTTCCTTTGAGAAACTATTAAGGAAAAGTGATGTAGCATTGCGCAAACTTAATTGAAAATCGATTAAAATCGATAGATGAACTCTTGGAGTTTCCATAGAGAAGCTTCGAGAAGTCCATTTAATTACTAGCTTTAGCATTAACTTGTTCCATAAATATTGTCATGTAGATTGAGATTCAATTTTCTTAATTATCATTTTATCCAGTCGAGTCCATAGAGTCCATTAATTGACAATTCTGTTTCTACAATATATTCCACGAAAATGAATCAAATTTCCGGAGATGCATATCTATTGGAACTACTATTGGAATCCTTTACCAGCGAATTATTCGACAGAAATCGGCGAACGACACGCGGAACGATACGTGCGCCGAGTCGGCTGCGAATGAACCGTGAAAACAATCAATGGCCAGTCTATATCAATTTCACGGTTCGCCCACGGGCTTGAATAAGGACGGGTAATTTAAGGAGAGCCCGTGACGGAGCGCGGCCGATGAAAGAGCCTGTCCTCCGATCGACGCATCGATCGAGGCGAATCGTTCCTCGCGGAAGACCTTGCGCCTCGTTCGGCCTGTTTCCCGTGGATAAAGTCGACGTGCAATTTCACGGCAATTTCTCATCGGCGACCGATCGCGCTTAGCAGTGAATCAACTGCTCGCCGACTTCTCTCCTGTTAACACTTCCACGTCCGCACGGTTCGCAAAAATTTTCTTCTCTATCGCCGGAACTTTCTGCAAAGTTGCTCATTAAAATGTACAAATATAAAATATAAAATTTATTACAACATAATAAACTTAGCTGCTTTTTATTAAATTATACGTGTATTTAATAATACGTGTAATTTCCAATGGCACCATGCTGGTGTCACCGCAAATAATAAACGGGATGCAAATGGCACCACGTTGGTGTCACCGGACGTGAAAGTGTTGAATGATATTTTTTACAACTAACATAAAGAAAAACCCTGCATAAATTAAGTAACAGAACTATTTTATTTCGACGTTCCATATGTTGATACATTAAATAAGATTTAATATTGAATTTTAAATTTTACCATTTCACTGGGGCAAAGCAAATGGCGACTGAACGGCGCCCCTCGAATGCAAAGGGTCAACACATCGCGTACCGGAAATTTTCGAAAAACTGAATCGCGCGAATGGCGATTTTCAGCGAGATCAACTTATATCATTATATATATGAAAACACAGATATCACATTGTTATGTAATATATTTTAACCCTTCGTGGACGAATGTCGACATTTCGGCCAGATGAAACGTTCAGATTTGGAAGACTAAGTCGCAGGCAAATGATTTAATTACTCGGACAGCAAGAGATTAGCAAATGAAATTTAATATTTTTTCAATGCTGCGGTAATTAGGAAAGTTGCATAGTTAAGTGTCTTTATATAGAAACGAGATTTCTCGTTGCCAATGTTAACCGTTCGAGTAAAAAGGCTTCTTGCCTTTGCAAAGGCTTTGCAAACGCTTCTTTCGTTTCAGTTCAGAAACTGAACGACGCTTTTCTATTTTTACATGAAAAGATTGTAAACAGCGCGATCGTTCCATTTTTCCATTTCTAAGTAGGTAATAAAAATAAATGATTAAAATACAAATAAATGAAGTTAATTTGATTCTACGAACCGATAGAGTGGCAATTTTGGATAGTGCAACGGAGAAGCGCGATGCCGATGGAAAGGGGCGTGAAAACTCTTCGAGCGGAAATACCGTTTCTCCCATTACCGCGCGAACTCGCCGGTAAATTCGAATTGACCGTCGAATTGAGTTTCCCGACGCGAGTTTCTCTCCGGAACACTTTTCATTATCAAGCACCGGGTACGAAGACGATTTTAGAAAGGACGCGTAATAAAGAGCGTGCGTCTTGATTAAAGAACCATTCGCCGACCCTCCTATATTTACCCTTTGATTGAAAATAACGTCAACTCGAGTCGTTCCCTTCCGCCAGCCTTCTGCAATCTTATTTATGTCCAGCCGGCGAAATATTTCCGCGGCCGTGGAAAATTACGAGCGCTCGTTCACGGATCCCGCGGCGAAGTTGGCCGTTGGCAGCTTTGATGCAATTAAGCGATGGGCTCAGCTTATTGCCCGGCGGAAGTGTATTACCACTCGTGACGCAAGTAGATTCCAGACCCGTGGAAACGTTGTTTTTCAGTTAACAATGGACCGAGAGAAAAACGAACGTGGATGCTTGCGTTTCAACCGTCGAACGCAGCTGATCAAGGTGAACGCAGTCCGATGTTTAGCTGTTCGGGTTTAACAGCTTGATAATGAACGTTAAATCGATGGCCGGCGTTTTACCGCGATGACTCTCGAACACGCTTTAATTAGCGACGAATGCAGCAACGTATGATTATACTGCCGCGAATAGAACAGGTATAATCGAGTAATTGCGAGGCTAGGAATTATTTGATTGTTACCTAGGAAACACGAGCAGTGGCACTTACGTTTCGCTAATGATAATGTCGTTTACTAGAGCCAACGATACCGACGGTACACGATAACTAATATATCTGATAACTTAATTATATTCCGTTGAACGGCGAGGGATCGATGCAGTGATCTCCCGTTGTGTTTTCTCATACAGAATCATCCGTATCTCGCGCATCACGAGACAGCCCGAACGACCGATAAAATTGTATAAAATTTTTAATGGAATTGCTCGATCGATCGAGTTTCACGGCAGATAAAGTCGATTCATAACCCAATACCAATATTACGCACTGTACGCTCTCGATTACGGGTGGCACGATAAAATCCTATCAATCTGTTAGTCAGGGCCGTGCCCATCGCCGGCGGGACGACGAAAACGGATTCCGCGCGCGTATCGCGCGGGTCGAAGGCCCGCGCGTGACCCACTTCTCCGATCTCGCGTGATCGAAATACCTCGAACAGTAAGATTCCCTATTGTTCGACGCGTGCACGCGCCTGCATTGTCTTCCGCTGCAATCTAATCTCCCTCGGAATTACGACGATGCTCTCTTTTCGAGTCGCCAGACACCGCTACCGTCGCGCTACGTGACTCGCGGTGTTGTCCACCGAGATTCACCGGGAGATAAGGAAATCGTGCGTTCAAGGAATCCGTTCCCTCGTTCCGAGAACGCGCGACCGGGTTGCGCAACGACCCTTGTTTGCCGAGGCCGCCGTGCAACGCCTCCCCCGACCAAAACAACGCCGATGCAATGCCGTCCGCGGGGGCGGACGGATCGTCGTCGAGATAAGATCGCGCCGCGTTATCACTGCTTCCTTTGGAATACCATGGATAAGACGCCTCGCAAATATGTTTACAAACTGAACGGGGAACACAGAAAACAGCCGCCGACACGCCGTTTGTCGGCGCCGCGGACACTATCTTCGCGATGCTCCGATACACACGAATCGCTTAGAAGTCATCGCGGTTGACTCGGTTCTTGTGTATCTTCTGGTTTTTCTCAATTTTCAATGGGATGAATAATATGCTTTTGGTTATTCAAGGATTTACTTTTCTTTGTTTTCCTTGATGAGAATGCAGGTGTTTTTGGAGCTTTTGAGCGTGGTGTGTAATCATTTCAGAAA